TTCCCATCTTTACATTATGCTGATTAGATTCCCCTTCATGCATGCACTTGTCAAGAGCGCGCTGACATTTAATCATGTTCTCCTGTCCCACTTGTTCTGCTGCTGGACGTGTCTCACGTTGGTGGTCACTGACAGCACAGGAGCAGAGCGTGTCCCACACACGAGTGCCTCAAGGGTCCCAAGGGCCTGCAGAGCTGCTGAGGGCCCTGCGCGGGCAGCGAGGTTTCCTGCCTCCTCACACAGGTCATGCAGGGCACGGCAATCGCCCGTAACTCTGAGGCTACCGGGGAAGGCTGGTGTGGTTTCTGTCCAGGGTCCCCCCTCATCCAGGGGGACCCCCCACAAATAGTCTGTTTCCACACTGTATATGGAAAGGGCAGAGGTAAACAAAACATAGGTGTTTTTTACAGTGTGCAGGGGCCTGGCAGCCCCAAGCCAACCTGACTCAGGACTGGGACTTCCTACCATGTAAGAAGACCTAATCAAGGTTCAAGAAGAAGGAGATGTGTGTGTCCTCTCCAGCTATTAACAACAGGCTGTCAGCTTTTTCTTTTTTTTTTTTTTTTTTTTTTTTTTGCGTGAGGAGCCCTCCCAGTAGAGCCTGAACCTTAACTGAATCAACTGTATTTGCTTCCTAATAGACAGAGATTAGGATGGCAAACCAGTCATTATTGGGAACATTATTGGGAACAAATCGACAGGACAGGCAAGAGGAAACACTTCCTTGTGATAAGAATAGTGGGAAGGTTACAGAGTCTCACTGGTGGCCTTGAGGAAGAGCAGGTAAAGACCCATCATCAGTGTTGCAGGTGTAATTAATTTTCAATGGAGGGGGGAAGCTGCACAAAACTTCTCGGGATTCCCTCTGGATACATTTCTCTTGATCTTATGTTGTTAGATTTGTTGCTATTAGGGGAGAAGCCTCTAGACAAGAAAATATTTTATTAAACAACGCTCTTTTGGCCTAGTTACATGTTACTATAGTTCATGTTATAATTCAATATCTATACACTGACTTATTTTGTCCAAAACCYTGCTAGTAACATGGACAAATTTTGGGTTATTAGCAGTTTTAGGGATCTAATGTTTTGGTGAAATACTGGTATGTATGCGCTAAAATGAGATTTAAAAGACTTTTCAGAAATTGCAATGCATTAATTATGGAAATTTTAGGTTCAACCACAATTTATATAACTAGGTAGCATCTGGACATTTTGTGGCCAGTATGTCTTTAATGTTGAGCTATCTGCTAAAATCAGCCCAGTATGTCATTCTCCATACCTATAAACCAAAATTATATGACAAGAATGGGGAAAAAAAATAGCAGCACATTTACAGTTAATGAAAATGTAGRAATTTTGAGCTTTTTTCAATTGACGCTTGCATGATTTCCCTAATTACCCATCTTGGCTTTGAATGTGCAATCATAGTCATTTAAAAGCACAATGACAGGCGACAGATTGTTCTTAGCAGACACACCTCCAACAACCACGGAGGCGATGGTTATTCAGGATTAAATAAGATCAAAATGGTTAAATCTTCACCRTTTTATTTATTAGATTTTCCCCCGAAAAAAAATATCTAAGCTGTTTTGTGCACAGACTAGTAGCATTTAACCATTTTKATCTTATCTAATCCTCCTTAACCACTGGCCATCTGAGGTACTGAGAAGGCCTCTATGATAGATTTTTTATGGAAAAAAAAAACYCTATCAGCATAAATAAGAKAAAGCTTTTTGCATAGATCACTGGYCTCAGAACAGTTGTCATCCCCATAAGCTCTGTAACAAATTAATGGAGCTTGATAGAGGTTGGAAGTTGATGCTTTAAGCAGGAAATCTGGATTCTCCAAAGCCAGACTCTGACAGAAAGTAGCCCTTGGTTGTCAGTCACCAAAGGACTGACTCACCCGCTCACTGACAGCCTTGAGGCCAAACCTCAGTGGGCGTCAAGAAAAGAGCAAGAAATACTGAACCAAAAATACTAGCAAGAAGACTTGAGGTATTTTTAGTCTCTGGTCCTTCTCAGAAAGGTGCAGAAACTTCCTCAGATACAGAAATACTTTTTGTGCCAAATTGACTTTTCAGTGTGCAAGACACTAAGTCATTCCTGTTACTTAACTAGAAAAGTCTTGAATTCTTTCCAGGCAACATGGATGCCATAGTGTAAGACCAGAGAAGTGTTTGAAAATCTAGAACAACAGGTATGAAAAAAAAAAGTTTATTTTAGATACAGCTTAAATCCTTGATCTGACAAATATCAGCTTTGCAGATTATCTGGTTTTTGTAAGGTCCTATATAAGGTCCTCTTGATGCCATAAGCCTGCTTTCCTCTGCGGCTTGCCAAAGGCCCACAGTTTTGTGTAGGAGCTTCTTCTGTGCGGCTGCAGTATCCTGAAGCTAACACTTACAGCATGGTGAAAACATGCAGCCTGTCTGCCCTGACTCTTTAAGCATATTTTGGATGGCAGTTGTCTCAGGCACGTACCCTGCACTTCTGTATTTCTGCTGCTTCAAGTGCAACACAGTACTTCTCTCTGGCAGGTTACTAGAGGGCAGTCTTCTCACCAGATCAGGTGGAGATAAGTCAATGAAATGGATTCTGAAAGGTTTGGTACTTCATTACAAAATAGAAGAAAAAAATAGCAAAATGATTACTATATATATATATGTATATATATAATGGGATCTGCCTGATATGCCATTTTTTCTAGCTGTTACAAGATTTCTCAGTTGTCTTGAGTTGAGCTTAGACTTTGATAGGCTCCGCTCCTCGCAGAGCGCTCCTGAGAGGCAACCTCTTTCCCTGTATACAGTTCTCTAATCACACATCTACTGTAGCAGTGCACAGCGTGTAAAACACCTCTTCACATTGCCTCCTGAATGCCACTTCTGCCTCACCTTTCAGTTCATAGCATGTATTCTAGCACCATCTATGTTAAGAACAGACCGTCTGTCTGCACTATGACAGAGGCAACACAAAGGTTGTTGCCCTTCTCCAGGCTCCTGCCTAATTTGGGCAAGAAAAGCCATTCTCATGAATGAGCCCCAAAAAGGCCCTTTAGCTGGATGTAYAGGGAAAAAGCGTAAGGCAGGAGAAGCATGCAAGGCGCTTCCTCCCAACACTCTTCCAGCYTCCAGTGATCGTGGTCAGGGAGGGAATTTTTAAACCTGGGAGGGTGCCCAAGTATGTAATAGATTTCAGGATTTTTTTTTTCCTATGATCTTGTAGTGCTACTGTGCCATATAAATAGCTTATTTTTAAATAATTTTCTTACTGGCATAACGCCCTTTAGTTTGTTATGAATTTTCAGAAATCACATCCGGTAAGAAACAATTACCATACAAATATCTTATTAGGTCTAGTCTTCAGTTTTCCCTCGGGAATGACTAAAGATTAAACCTGACACATTCATATGAGAAACATGGCACCGGAGGCTTGGAGTTCGTAATAACCTCCCTCCACAACGTTCATGGTAGGGATCTCGAGAGAGACACTGCATTTCGAAAAATTAAGATGTGAAATGTTTCTGGCAATCTTTGACAGGAACAAAAATAGTACTATTCTCATTTGAAGAAATCATATATTTAATGTTCTTAGGTTTAGAACCATGACAGAATACCACTCTGAATAAAAAGGACTTCACTGATAGAAACTTAAGGTATATTACACACGAAACATACCCAAAAGGTCACATGATCACTATATATAGAATTTTGAAATAATCATTTGGAGGGAGAAACTCATCAATCATCAGAACAGGTGACACATTGCTGAAGGAAGCCATGGAATCCCACTCTTCAAAAAGCTTTACAAATAGGTTAGGTAAATATCTGTCAGGAGTAGCACAGGTACAAATACATCAGCTCTGGAGCAAAAGAATGCCCCGGTGAACCTCYCAAGCTCCCTTTCACACTCTTCTTCTACAGCCCTCTGACTACTGGGTCRTTATTTATATAATTTAATTGTTTCAGATGTAAAAGGCATTTCCAGATGTTTCCAGTTTCAGAAAATAAGTTCCACATCTTACAAAGCTGTGACTTAAAAAGTCAAACTGAAAAACAACAGAAATAAATACTCCCATAAATTCTTTGGAGTGCTTAGAGAGACCTAAGAAAGCACAAGGTCTTACAGTACTTGCCACTAATGTACGTACAACATACTTTATAGACAAAATAGTCATTTTCAGGATATAGGAATCTTTGCTTAATTTAGAAAGAATCTGCTTTAGTCACAGATTTCTGCCACTCCAATTACTGCTAACAAACCATGGAATTCTAAATATATCTAAAAATTTAAACAGAAATTCAAACTTTTATGTTTTACATAAGAGTTCTTATGCAAGGAGTTCTTTTTTTCTTAATATAAACCCATCGTTCTTTTTGTATCCGGTGCTTCAATAAGAAAAAACAGATTACAAGATCTGGCAGAAGAAGTAAAGCCATTAGCAGCCTGAACTCGTTTCCTTGACTTTTAGAGAAGGTAAGGTAGAATTAACACTTCTTGTGTGTTGGATCTGAAAARCTCGTTTGTTCAGGTAGTCAGGAACACGTTAGGAAAAGCCAACCTATGGAAAGGAAACCCACAGTAAAAGTGTCTTGCAGTCTGACCTTAATTTTCGTTAGCGTGAATGCTAAAAGGAAAGGAGGAACTTGCTTCTCTGCAAGGCTACAGAAATAGAATATACTGCAGGAATTGCCTAGGTGCCCAGCCAGTGGTAAAAGCAGGAACTGCTAATTCCAAGTTTGTGTGGTGGCCTTGTATTTTTTCTAGGAAGGGCCCATTTCTTTCGGCAGTGAAGAGTGTTTGCAGGCGGGTCTCGGCCCTGCAGACGTGCCGTGCACGCTGCAGGCAGTAAGCACTGCAGAAGCCAGCGAGGGCCTGCACGGGGGACTGCGCTGTGCCCTGTCCTGCACATGGCAGCGCCGKCCCCACTGCCGGACCCACAGAGTCCTGCTTGGCCTCCCCTCTGAACACCAGGATAGGGAGCGAGGGGGCAGAATGGGAAGTGCTGCCCACGGCCAGCCCTCGCCGTTGCCAAGCGGGTGGTTTCAGGGTGAAGAGGACACAGAGGCTGGGGAGGGTCTTGCACCGCACCGAGCCACGCCGGGCCGGGAGGGCTGCGCGACGGCAACGCCGCGGCGCGAGGAGCAGGAGAGGCAGCCAGGAGCTGAGCGCGCACAGGCGGCTTCCAGCAAGGGCCTCTCGCGCCAGGCACCGTCGTGAAGGAGAGGGCTCTGTTCCTGTGGGCCCCACTGTCCGTGGGTYCTGGCAGGACACACGTATGGGCAATGATGGAAGATGCTCTGGGATGYACCCCCACCGCACCGAGCATATGTGAAGATAAAGGCCTGGAAACTTGGTCCAGCCCTTGCAGCAAACGACTGTTGCGTTGGCTGGCAGAGCTCAGCAGCTTTTACACTTCTAGAGGCCTCCATGTAATTTAGGTGATTTGAGTATTTGGAAAAGGCCTAAATTACACATAAAATTATGTGTAATAAAATGATGTGTAATTTTATGTGTAAACAAAAAAATTGCTTTTTCCTTCACATATTCTTGGCTAGCCAACAAACAGAAGATGCTCTGTTAGTGTACTCTACTCTCCAGCACACCAATTTTGCCAAGTTTTCTGATTTAGAGCAACAAAACGTGCTCACATTCTTTTCCTTCAAAATACTCTCTACTTTAGGTGAGGCCTGCTCATCAGCAGTAAAAGCAGTGTTTTACCCCACTGTGGCCTTGTCATTCTCTAATATATTAGCGTACTCCTGTGACTTCTTACCCATATTCCTCAAGGTTTGAAGTTGTGTAGTAAAATTCACATATGTATTTTACATTTTATTTTATTCACTTACATACTTTAAACTCAGTAATATAAAAAGATATATAAACTCTTCTAGGAGTATATGGTATGCCAATGATCTTCAGTTTCACACACTTTATTCTAGTAACTGAACAATGTTAGCAGCACTAAACACCTAGAATGATGTTTGTGGCACTAGATTCCTAATATACATTAATTTAAAAAAAAAAAAAAAAGAAAAAAAAATGGTTGCACTACTCACAATTCAGGCTATGCTTACCTATTTTTTTAGAAAATTAATACTATATTTATTGAATCAGTATATTCCCTGAATACACAGCCTGTCATGGCTGAAGAGAGGTAAAATCAAAACAGATTGGGAATGGCTCGGAAAGACTGAGGGACTAATTTCGAAATCAGAGAGATTTAAAATAGCCTACACAAATATCCAACAGTATTTTTTAAACAGAGATATACCAAAATTTAAGACGTATACGAGTATATTGTTTTCAGAGTAATTAGAGCATGTAATAAGCAGCGATAAAAGATATCAAACAGCCTTAAACTCCAGTGGGTGAACAAAAAGACATTTTTATTCAGAATAGAATTAAAACACATCTAAAAACATCACCAAGAAATGGTCTGAAGACATCCCACCCCTGCCCTAAAGAATAATGGAGAAAGAGACATGTGTTTCAAGATATATATGCATTTTAAATCAATTAACAAGGCAATACATCTCTCTTTCTTAAACTTCTCTGCTTAGATGGAAAAAAAATGTCTTAAAATGAATCCACCCTGTAATTCACTAGTGGAGGAAATAGAGACTTGTTTTCTTGCAGCAAAATTTGTTTTTCAAGTATTTTTCCCTTATGACATTCTACCTTGTGTTACTTATCACCATTTACCTCTTCAGATGTTACTACAGCTAAATATGTATGTGTAAGGCACCATTTCCAATATCCTCACCAAAATAAACACAGGATTTACTCCTAAGAAACACGGGTGTTTTACATAATTTAGCTGTAAATGTCTGAAAGTAGACCATTTTCAAGAGCACAGTTCTTACAACAGTTCTTCTTCCACCTAGTTCTCCTCCYCCCCAGTTTATTTTTCTCCCACTTCAGTGTGATTTCTCCTTAACCATATTCCAGTCTCCTGGATTATCCCTGCCTACCATTGAAAACACCCGTTCCCTCCCCCTAGGGTCCCTGTGCTCCAGGCTGCCACAGGCTCCCGCCGCTTCCCGCCCCCGTTAGGTGCCGCTCCCTGAGCACGTCCACAGCATTTGCGTTTTTGTCTCTTATGTCTTAGCCTGTCTTTAATCGGCTTAACCAGGCTGGAGCCTAGTTCACGCGGCCAGCCTGCGGCAGCGCCTTCCTCTCAATACCTACGGTGGAAGTTCGTAAATCCCGGCACTTTAAAACCTATCATTTTGATAGTAACCCCCACTAAAATAGGCTGCTGTCTGTGGCACCGACAGACAGTGAACAAGAAGAGGCAACATGGAGGATTTATGGCACTCCCTCTGCACGAAGGGCTGGGCGCATGAATCATGACTTGGCACGGTGCCGCGCGGCTAGCAGCGCAGCCTGGCTGCCACTGCGCAAAGAGGAAAACAAAAGGGTGAAAAAAAATAAAGAGAAGCGGCAACGCGGGGCCGCGGCGGGGCGCAGGGCGGGCACAGCGCCCGCCCGCCTGGCGGCAGGGCACAGCCCGCAATCACGGCCGAGGCCACGGCCGCGCCGCACGCGGGCGGCGAACGGGACACGGCGCCCAACGGCTTCAACGGCCGCCCCCGCCCCCCGCTGGCGCGCGCCGCGGGAACGCGGGGGGGGCGAGGAAGGGGGAGGGGGAAGGGGAGGGTGCGCGCGAGCAGCAGCGCCGCGCTGCGCTGCCCTCCCCCCGCCCGCCCGGCGCGTCCCCGCGCGCGCGTGCGCGGTGCGCTGTGCGCGCGCCCTGCTCCGTGACCCATTTCAGCGAACAAAGGATTTTGCTGGAAACTCAGCGCCGGACCTAAAATGGCGCCGGCGCGCTCGCCCCGCCCCGCCCCGCCCCGCACCGGCTCGCCCCGCCCCGTGGGGCACCATAGAGACGGGGCGGGGCGGGGCGGCGCGGGCAGGGCGG